AAGTTTGTGTAATTGTTTCTGAATCTAATAGCTACAGTGTTTGTGTAATTGTTTCCAAATCTCACAGCTACAAAGTTTGTGTAATTATTTCTGAATCTAACAGCTACAGTGTTTGTGTAATTGTTCCTGAATCTAACAGCTACAGTGTTTGTGTAATTGTTCCTGAATCTAACAGCTACAGTGTTTGTGTAATTGTTCCTGAATCTAACAGCTACAGTGTTTGTGTAATTGTTCCTGAATCTAACAGCTACACAGCATTTGTGTAATTGTTTCAGAATCTAACAGCTACACAGCATTTGTGTAATTGTTCCTGAATCTAACAGCTACAGTGTTTGTGTAATTGTTTCTGAATCTAACAGCTACAGTGTTTGTGTAATTGTTCCTGAATCTAATAGCTACAGTGTTTGTGTAATTGTTCCTGAATCTAACAGCTACAGTGTTTGTGTAATTGTTTCAGAATCTAACAGCTACACAGCATTTGTGTAATTGTTTCTGAATCTAACACCTAGAGTATTTGTGTGTGTAATTGTTCCTTGGGTCACATCTAAATGACATTTATTAAATGTTCCTACATGGCCCCCATGAGGCTAGACAGCGAGATTATCATCAAATATCAAATCCTCTCCCTCAATGTGAAATGAATCCATAGGCCTATTATATTCCAGAGGGGAATACACATGTGAATCGAATTAAAAGGTCAGTGTCAGATTTTAATCTCTTTTATTAGTTATTTTCCAAAGCTAAATCAAAATATTTTCATTTGGAATAACATTTCTATATTTGACTCAACCTGTATAAAAATAGCTGAATATATTATTTCTTTGTTGAAATCCAGATTGTAACCGTGTTTACAAACATAAAGCTTCGGCTTATTGCTAGTATATGGTGAGCACCATTAATTGGTTCAGAGGTTTCAATAATTCATACTCAAGTCTTATTTTCCCTGAAGATGATATCATCATTAGGATATTCAAAATATCTTGTTATACCTCTAATAGAATGGTATGTAACATTCAATGGTAGGGTGTGCAATATATTCAATGGTAGGGTGTGCAATATATTCAATGGTAGTGTGCAACACATTCAATGGTAGGGTGTGCATCTCATTCAATGGTAGGGTATGCAATATTTTCAAAGGTAGGATGTGCAACTCATTCAATGGTAGGGTGTGCAATATATTCAATGGTAGGATGTGCAACACATTCAATGGTAGGGCGTGCATCTCATTCAATGGTAGGGTTTGCAATATATTCAATGGTAGGGTGTGCAACACATTCAATTGTAGGGTGTGCAATATAATCAGTGGTAGGATGTGTAACACATTCAATGGTAAGGTATGCAATACATTCAATGGTAGGATGTGCATCACATTCAATGGTAGGGTGTGCAATATATTCAATGGTAGGATGTGCATCACATTCAATGGTAGGGTGTGCAACATATTTAATGCTAAGGTTTGCAGCATACTCAATGGTAGGGTATAGTAACATATTCCATGGGCAAATGCAAAACTATTTTGAGACAATTGGACTTCCTGTAGCAGATTAAAACATATAAAGTAATAATAATTATTCATGTATAATTTATTTGCTTTCAGCATCAAGGTTTTATTAAATAAATAAAGCCAACTAAGTAAAGCATAATTGAAATTGAGCCAATTTAATAAAATCTACAATTCCCCAGGACAGATATCGATATCGGTACTATTCTAGAATACTCTGATTGCTATACTATACTTCAATACACAATCACTCGTAAGGGCCTTGAATTATTGTTATTTCGCTGTATGAGGTTCTATATGTTACATCAATCGGGAGCAAAAAGTCAATACAGCCATTGTTTGTCTCTTCGATTACATCACAATTGAGATGTAACTTACTGGAATTTATCTGAGAATCAAATCGCTAATTTGGGGTCTCAAAATTGATCTGAGATCTCCGAGCCATTACTATACTAGTCTTTACTAGTCTCCTGGGATAGGTCTTAGCTCGGCAATTCATATTTCTCATGAAAATAAGAATATTAAGGGGAGACTAACAGTGTTTGAATGACAGTCAACTGAGTCTGTCTATCCTTGCAATTGAGTGATTTGTTATTAGAGAGAAAGTATATTCGCTAATAGCAACACGTACTAGGGTTTACCTAATGAGTAGGAAGCACTTTATTAGGAGCAAGTTATGGGGTGTGTAAATGTGCCAAGGGAAAAACTGGGACCTGGATGCCATCAAATCTGGCCTAATATACAAAAATTTACGTCAGAATGTGACGCAAATTGCTATGAATGCATCGTAAAACATTACAAAGCACATGTACTACGTATTACTATAATGTATTTTCTTTTTTTATTTTTATTTTATTTTTATAAGGCTATAATGCGGGTAATGCCTGGGTCACATTTGTTCCGATCCAATTGAGTATTCTGTTCGAAACTGAACACAATTGTGAACAGGAAACTCAATCGGCCGGGCGCTGGCCGATGAATCGGAGCAAATGTGACCCAAGCATAAGTAACTGCCTTTAGTCCTGATTTGAATTGTTTTTGTCTTTAGTCCAAATTCTCAACAATGATTTTTTGAATAAATGTATCAATCATCCAGCAACTATTTGAAATGATAATGCTCTCATTTACTGAGTTGTATGGTTTGCAAATGTCAATCGTGAAATTGCATGCTTTAATTATTGATATTGCATGCTTTATTAATGTTGCCAATTACTGAGTTATACACCTAATCAATGCTGCCAATCATAAAGCTGCATGCTTTAACACTGCCAATCATGAGATTGCATGCTTTATTAATGTTGCTAATTATTGAGTTACATGATTAATCAATGCTGCCAATCATGAAATCGCATGCTTTAACACTGCCAATCATGAGATTGCATGCTATATTAATGCTGCCAATACTTGAGTTACATGCTTAAGCAATGCTGCCAATCATTAAATTGCATATTTTAACACTGCCAATCATGAGATTGCATGCTTTATTAATATAACCAATTATTGAGTTACATGCTTAATCAATGCTGCCAATCATGCATGCTTTAACACTGCCAATCATGATATTGCATTTTTAACACTGCCAATCATTAAATTGCATGTTTTAACACTGCCAATCATGTGATTGCATACTTTATTAATGCTGCCAATTGTTGAGTTACATGCTTAATCAATGCCAATGCCAATCATACATGCTTTAACACTGCCAATCATGCATGCTTTAACAATGCCAATCATTAAATTGCATGTTTTAACACTGCCAATCATGAGATTGCATGCTTTTTTAATGCTGCCAATTATTGAGTCACATGCTTAATCAATGCTGCCAATCATGCATGCTTTAACACTGCCAATCATTAAATTGCATGTTTTAATACTGCCAATTATCAAGATTGCATGCTTATTCAATGCTGCCAATTAATTAAATGATTTTATAATGCTGCAAATTGAGATTAGATGCTTTATTAATACTGCCATTTAGTGGGTTATATGCTTTCTGAAAGTTAAATAAAAAATATGAAAATTGATGATGATTTATGATGCTGCCAATTTATATGATGCTGTCATGCTTGGTGTATTCAGTACAGCACATCCTAACATTATAATACAAGCAACTGGAGAGGTATATATTTCAATAAAATTCAATAATATTTATCCAACGCTATATGATATTACAGTGTATCACTGCTAAGTTTAAGATGATATATCCTGATGGATTTATAACTTCACCTTGGTTGGTTATTAGGAAAACTAATCCAGCGTTGAATGTCACGAAAAATGAAACCTCTTAATCTTATAAAGAATTCTATGCTGTAAGCTCACAAGTAAAAATTGTTATTGCAAAGATATTCATTTTGGATTAAATCGTTAAGAAGCTAGTGTCGGCAAACTTTGACTGATTGAATAGTCTCTGAACAAAAACTGGACTGGATTAAGTTTTACGATTATGCAATATTTACAGCCTAAATAGTAATCTCAGGTTACAAAAAGAAAATCTATAATCCCATAGAAGGCTCTATGTCATCGTTGAGTCTGTAAAAATTGTTATTCCAGTTCGATATTTGATTATTTCATTCTCTGACATATTAGTAGAGGTATTAGTTTAAGCTAAATGATCAAACCAACAATAGATTTAACCGATTTAATGCCCAATGTATTTCATATATAATACCATCCAATTTTATGGATGAAAAACAAAATGGGGTATGGGCCAGGCCAAGTTTCATTCACCATAAAGGAGCTTATCAACAATAAGTGCTTCCTGTGTTTTCATTATGGCATTTCATTATTGGGTTTACTGAGTGCCATTTGTAAGCCCCATGTTCGTACTGAACATCTCTCAATGTGAACACTTTCTCGGTCCCAATTTTGCGATCTCCCAAAGACCAGGGGTGGATCAGTGAACCAACAAGGGGGGGGGGGGGCAAATTTCAGGTCAGAGAAAAAAACTTCTGAAAAATATTTTTGGCCCCTAAAATGCAAAAGTGGGTCCAAATTTTTAAATTTTGAGGCCTATTTTCTTGAAAATGTGGCCTGAAATTAAAAAATAAGGCCCAATAATGACCAAAAAGGCCCACTTTTTTGGGCCTTTTTCCACCCAAGGGGAGGGCCCCCCAGATCTGCCAGTGAAGACTTACATATTACTATTACATAAACCTTGAAATGAGAACATCTGCTAATTAAAACACTTTTAGTTGACCCCAATGGTGTTCAGGCTAGACAGGTTTTACTGTACTACATTTTTAGATTATAAACTAGGTGTATGATAATAAAAAATGAAAATAATTTTCAAAATTTGTAGGCTTAATGTTCATTTTGATATCAATGGAACATCCTTTTGCCTTTGTCATTTGACCAACCTATAGAGTTCCAAATCAAAACTAAGCAATTGCTCTCCATATCCACATATCTTACACCCCTCAGACTTTGCCATTATGCTCAACTTAAGTTAAAAATAACTTCGAAAATAGTAAAATTAAAGTTAATTAGACAATTAACTTACCTTTAACGATGAGCTGGCTTCCACCGAAGGGGAACGTATCGACGATGAGAGGTAAAGGAGTGTTGGAAGACTGTAGGTACACATTCACCGCGTCAAGATTAATTTTACGTTTCTCAAATATCGGCACCAGGGCATCCCTGAAAAAATTCAAACTTGTTTACAAGTTTAATATGAGGTTTTTATGAAATAAATGCCACAAGGCTGCCCTTGGAAGTTAAATGGCACATTTTATCAGTCTCTGTCAGTTAAAATTCCAGATATAATTCTCAGGTTAAAGAGTGCTGTGTATTTTGAGAGAAATTCAAACCTGTTGTTTTGATAGATGGCTCCCAGGGTTTGGATGCAATGCATATTTAACTACAAGATTTGGTATTGGGTTAACATGGGCTTCCTGTTGGTATGATATGCTAACTGTTCAATGGTAATAATTCAAATACCTGTACTCTGTTTGTATGCATGTTATAGCTGGGATTGATGGAGTGCATCTTTAGGGGGGGGGGACACGACTGTGCACAATCTGAGCCTTGTGAAATGACAATGGTTAGATAACCTCATGAATGTAAAAATGTTAGTCCTCAAATACAGATAACCCTGTTTGGACACAGGCCCATAGCTAAGGGGGTGTAAGCGAATCCCCAACCCCTCCCCATGGTCAAAATTCTTTCAAAATCATACAGTTTTTCACTATTCTGAGCACTTTTCAAGTGATTTTGGGCCGAAATGTTCAAATGTGAACCCCCTGGAATTTAAAAAAAATTGAACCCCCCCCCCTTGGCAAAAGCTGGATATGAGCCTGGGACAGAACCACACGATCAATGATACTAATTTTATGTATATTATGACCTTATGTATATCAAACTTAAAGGAGGCAAGAGAAACAATAACTTAACTTGGGTCGATATCTAATTTGGATGTGCCAAGTTGAGTTAGCATGTAATATCACACAGGTATACATCTAAAATGTGTGGTAAAAAAGTTATATATACCTTCAAGGTTATAACTATCTGATATCTTTAAAGGGCAATATTTTGGAAATAGTAATTAAGCAATTGACCAATACATAAACAGAAATGAGTTGTTTTATTCCAAATGGAATACTTTTCCTTTTGCTTTTTTGATTCTCTTTTGAATTTCTTGAAGATGTATAGTTAAAATATGAATGAAATTGTCCAGTGTTGAAAATATAATGTAGTACGCATTTTTATTGAATGGGCCGAAGATGCAATTCCGTTGAATCATAAGAAAGTTCCCAACGAGAAGGGTCTATAAGATGGAGTGCAATGATGTTAATGTAAAATTTCTAACTCATCACATACTGTTAAACAGTGCACTGTATGTAATATGGATCAAGATGAACACATCATGTGCATTCAAAACCTCATATCAAAAATTTGACATCAATAAAAATCTGTCTGGGTTATGGATTGCTTAAAAATTAATAAAATCAACTCACCTCAAAGTGACTCCTTCTTTAGCATTAACCAGCTCAAGTTCTGCCTGGTCCCATAGTTCCATTCGCACGGTGAAACAGTCTTTGCCAATATTGTTCTATAACACACATACCAATGAATTACTATTATGCAATTGAATTCAATTTACAACAAGGTAAACTTGAATCTGTTTTGCCAAATGGCCTGCAGTGTATTGGATACCTGGAGTGAATGTGACGGTGTTGATTCAAGGTTTTTATTCCTTGCCAAAGGGCACTCTGTATGGTTCCAAGTTGTCTTAATCCGCACTTTGGACTGCGGTATATTCAAGATCACATACACAAGAACTTTTGTTGGGTCTTTAAACTGGACTCGTTTACTAATCCGAAGATTATGCTTAAGCCATAGAGGCCTAATATAGCCTATCAAATCTTAAAGCATGTATATAATGCATTGTGTTTTGCAAAGAATTAAGCCCTAGATCAGTTTAGTGGGGTTTAACAATGTTTATTTAAGCTTGAATACTTATTAAGAAAAGCTTCTTTATGGAGTTCGCAACTTATGAAATACAAGCCATCTTGTAGATACAGTACATGGTAAAGCCAAGACTACATTTTATACTACTATTGAACTGTCATGCCATCTATAAATAGGAATGAAGTTATTTGAGGCTAATTGCCACTGATCAGTTGTTTTTCTAAATGAAACAATATTATAGACACTCATACGAAAAGGATAGGCAAAATATGATATTAATTTCATCAAAGATACAGAGTATTAAGAATTTTATGTATATTTGCCAATGAGAGATATATGAGAATTATGACAGATTTTCTTGAAATATCAAAGTTCTATTTTCGATAAAGTCAATACACAAGTGGTATCATTAAAAACTAAAAAATAATTTTGCATACTAGTTGGCTGACAAAGTCACCAATAACATGGATATAATTGAATCAACCATAGGTGTGAATCAAGCTGAAAACTCAGAGAAAATAGCAGAACGTTTATTAATCAGTTCGTATTAACAAATTCATCTACAAAGCTGTCTGAGCTTTCACCGTTATTCATGCCAATAGGGTGGCAGCAGGTTTGGTTAATTCTGGTTTGTACCATTTGTTTGTTCCATTTTCTCAACTGGCAGATACTCTGTTGCGTTTCTGATCAGTTCTATGGCATATAAGGAATAATACGATTATAAAGATTTGATGGCAGACAAGGATAACACGAGTTTGTGTGTTTGTCAATATAGTCAGATAATACAAAATATCGCTATAATCCAATATGGCTGTAGATGTCACTTCTCAATAACCTTACAATAAATAATAGATTGCATTTATATTATGTATAGTCTATGGCCAAGCAAACTTAATCAATTGCATTTATCCGAAAGAATATAATATCTTGCAATTGGCTTATTCATAAAAACATTTTTTCACATAAAATATTTATTTGATATTGTTAGTATGAAAGGTACACCCATCTAGTCTAACATCCTCTAAGACCTTTTCCCTTTTCAAGAATTGATAACCTTAGTATTAATACTACTGTTACTGCCCCCATCAATTCTAGAGATGAAATATACATGCATCTACAAGAAAATGGTTAAATGATCTGAATTGTGTGGATATTCTTATCTAAAAGATGAAAATGTATTTTTAATGACCTTTACACAGTTTCATAATAAATGTCACATTTTCAAAGGAATGGAAAATCAAAATTACAATGTGACGTTAAAGTCACATCATAAATAACAATTTATTTTTAGCAGATACATAAAAAGATATTTGAATCGTGTATAATGTCACCATCTCCAATGTTAATATCACCTGGAAGATCATGCGGTAGTCATGCAAATCATAATTTGTTGCATTCCAACAGTTGCTTCCTATCAGAATGTCAAAACTTGTTGAAATAATGAGTCATTCATCAAATCTGTTAATACCAAATTTCTACATGCTTCAAAGCTCTTAATACAACTTAAACTTAATGATAGTAAATTAAGCTCAAAGCATTACTTTTCAAATTCAAATCAAACAAGTTTGAAATATGACATGTTACCATAGTAACACTTTTCATCATAGTCAAATATAACCATGGTTACACATTATGTTTGCGTATTGAATATTGAATCATACCAATCATGTTAACCTCTTGACTACCTGGAGTGACAAGATTTCTTGTCACCTCAGAAATAACCTTGAAACCCAGAGTGACGATTGCTCTTATTTGAAAAGTCTTCATCTAATTTACACAGAAATTGTTTTAAAATGTGTAGAAATTATCTCTGCATTCTAATGGTATATGTATGTAGTAAAATGTCAAAGTGTGTCAAAAATGAAAAATTCTCTGGTTTCAAAAGATTTTAGAGCCTGGGATTCAAGAGGTTAACATAGCCAAACGGGTAACAAATGTAACAGGTAAATATGTAATGAGTAAAACATGTAACCATTGTCAAATATGCAACCATAGATTAACATGCAAAATAGTCAAACATGTGACCATGGTTATGATTAAATTCAGCTGGCATTGATAAAATCTGGAACATCAAAGCAAGGTTGTTTGATGCCATGTAAAAATCCAAATGTTTCATGTCAGGGAACTACTACCTGTAATGTATATTATAGGGTAAATAGCAAAACTTGATACAGGAAACAACTAACTTATGTACAGGGCCATAAATATTATTTTCCTGATGGCTCTACTATCTATGTATATTAAAATTGAAATGAAAAATATATGAAAATTTGTATGAAATCAATGTACAATTGTACTGCATTTTCTGATGTTATTGATGGCTTGTTAAAATTAGGCTTTCAAAAATTGAGGATGTATAACATGTTTCAAGTTTTGCTATTTTCCCTAAATCACCTAAGTTTCCTCACTATCCTTGAAGACTGAACACCAACCACCAAACTTGCCTAGCAATTAACATGCTATCAGGAAAAGCTACAAATCTAAATATCATTATTATAGAACCCAACAAGTTATAAATTTAGTATGCATGAACCTGCGAAAGTTTGAATGAAGATGATGAGGTGGACGGAGGGGGTGAACTAGCATCAAAGGTCGTCGCCACTGACACACGACGTTGTTTTCTCGTCTCTTTAGGAGGTTGCTCATCCCTCGAGGGGTTAGCCATATTATACAATAGCTCCCCCACGCTTAGTCTCCTTCGTATCGGGTGCTGAGGTGGCTTGTTGGGCCCTTCCTAGTAGAATATACATATGGGAGGTAATAAATACAAAATAAAATAAAAATGTCAACAAAAGTTAAATCAACTTGATACCTAAACCATAATGTCGAAATCAATATTTACAAATAAAGATGACGTGTGGTATTTTACTGTGAATCATAAAATGTTTCCAAAAATGTGTTGATTTTAGAATTGTGCACTAGTAAATCAGAATAAAGCAGATAAAGTTAATAGAAGTGAATTATTTGTGATGCTTTCCATTTTAGTAGAATTATTTATTATATTAATCATTAATTTTATTGCTGTTCTATATTTAGGGAGGTCATGAAGTGCATACAAATAGCTATAAATTAGCAACATCCAAAGCGCATCAGATCATTGCCATTAGGGATATTGCTCTTCAAAATAAATGACAAAAATCAAGAAACTATAAAAAGGAATTTGAAGCAATTGAGAAATTTATGTAGACCCCAAAGATTTGGTAATTTGAGTAAACCCCTAGTTTTTGTTAATGTACGTCATAATATACAAAATACAGTACATGTACAAGCTTGTAAGTTTTACGATATACTTAATACAGTCCCATATCATAAATAAAATTTCGTTTTTGGTCAAAAACAAGCGTTTTGGTCCATTACTTCTACTCATATGCTTAAATCACATCCTATACATAATAATATAATAAAAATGCCTCATCTGGATTTTATGTGAATTATCATCTATAAATTAATTCTAGATCTATACGCTTACACATCAATGTTACAGAACCTTAACTCGATAATCAAGAAAGGTTGATTCTCCTCGAATAACACACTGAGTAAGTCTAAGCGATGGATTCTTGTACAATTACTTCTACACAGACAATCTGAGTTACTAGCAGCGTGACTTATTAGCAGAATCTGTTTCCGTTTAAACTATTTTTTGCTGAGTTTGCTAATTATGTAGCAGGGATGTCACAGGCAATCACCAGGTACAACTACTCAGTAGTTATTACGAGGATATTCATTTAGTCTTGATTATAACAAATTTGAAGTAGGTCGTAGGGAGTTAATCAAGTATAATTAAGGTACCTCTCGTAATATTTAAAAGGTGGATGTCATGTTTCGAGCTAAAACGAGAAATAATGGAGAAAAGTAAAGCAATATTGAATGGACATCTATACATTGTAGATGATAGCTCTTACACATTTTTGATGTCTCCTATAATTCCATTAGCTCATGCATATGGATACTCCAGACTATCAAAGTGAGACGTCCCATGTAAGACTTATATCTGAATACACGTGTAAGACTACAAATGTGAGACTACACAGAGTAACCACGTAAAGACATAAAACACATATCCGTAGAGTTAAGTACTTACATCAGTGTGGTATCTCCTATCAGTTCGTTCTCTTTTGATCACTTTTTTCCTTTTGATTTTAGCAGCTTTGTTTTTGGAGTAGGATTCCCTTGATGGTGATGAAAAAAGATCGGGAGCATCTCTGTAATAGAAGAGAGAAAATGTTCAGTACAAGTGAGAGTGAATAAAACGTGATCCAGGGAAGCTATAGTTGTTGCCCATGGACAATGTGATAACTGAGATATTACTCGTCTGTTTAATAAAGCTTTTATTGAAATGGGTTATTTATCACAGTGGGATTGGAGTCTGTCCACTTTCAAACCCCAATTTGTCATGCTATAATCACAGTCTGACATCAGGCCCCTGCAATCACTCTCCCCATCTTAGTGATAGAGATAGAGAATGAGGAGGGGGCAGAGGGCCCGATTGCAAAACTAAAATTTTATTATCTGCACACAGGTATAATCATATTATTGTATTATACTATACTCACTAACAATTTCAGTTTTCCATCATGAGAATTTGAAATTTTTGAAACTCAATGATGTCATAAAATTATAAGTTATCCAAATCTTTAAAATATCAGAAGTCCATTTTTAAACTTCTTTTAGTGTTCTTTAGTTTCAAGTTCAATATACCTGAACTATTATCTCTAGCTTGTTGCAAAAAGTCAATTTGAAGTCTGATCAAAATGCTAGGACTATTTGGGCTAACATGAACAGCATACATGTACAGAACAGAACTTGTTAGATGAAGGCTATATCTTTTCTCCTGTTTTCATTTTTTGCACCAAACTTTTACAATATGTTTATACCATTTATATTGAACTCTATTCTAAGTCCTGATCAAAATGCTAGGACTTGGGCAGAACAAAACTTGTTAGATGTGGACCATATATACGATATATGTTTTCATTTTCTGTACCAACCCCTTTTACAATATTTCTAAACCACAGTCTAAGTAGATTTTGAACTGAGTAAAAATATCCACAATGCATGAAAAAGTACAATATGCCAAAAATCTCAAAAGTAAAACATATGACATTTCTTTCATTAATATTTTATTCTGACACATATGAAATGCATTAGGATTTAGATTGATGAGTCTCACAAACTCAAACACCTTTTTCATCTTCATAAGCCATACTCAAAAAGAACACATTTCATCCCTTGAAACACATTTTGAGTATTTTACTAAATAAGTCCTAGATATCTCTCCTAATAAGGACATACAGCAGATTTGGCAATTCTATAGCATTGTCACCTCGCATGTGTATTATTTAAATCATTTACCTTGAGGTAGGAAGGATGAATCGTTTAACAAGATCATATATGAAAGAATATTTCAAGATGGATCATTTGATTAATAAGATGAAATCCCAGGATATATGGACACTTTATCATAGTGACTCCAAACTGAAATTTTCACCAACAACCAATGAATCAAGGCCATGAATCAAATGAAATTGAATTTTGGAATCAACAACCACAGAGTCTGGATTGTGGGGGTGTTATTGCTATTTTGCTATACACGGTATGCACTCATATATAATACAGTACATATAATAATGAAATCAAATGCCAGAAAGTTATTTAAAATTCTCAATTCTCAACAAGGCATTAACATGCAAAGTGTCACCACCTGCCATTTGTTACAGTGGTTGAGTATTAAAAGGTTAGGACCCTCAATTTCCAATGACTGCTTAGATTCGTGCATTATTCATTGACTTTCTGAGCAGACAGTTTGATGCTAAGATTTACACTGATCTACTTGGTAAAATTTAGAGTTATTTTGACCCATAGTTCAATCAAATTATGCAAGCTAAATCAATTAGGGAGAAATAGCTTTCAACATATGTCAATACGATATTTCCTCTACCATGGATATTTTATACTCCTGCCAGGCATTTTGTTATATTTACTCTGTAAAGTACATTGTGGCATTCAGAGCTTCCTCTCTTACTTCAAAAGTAGCTAAGGGAGGGTTTGATAAATGACAAATTGTAAGTAGCTCTCTCAACAATTTTAAACATTTACATAAACGATCATAAACCCAAGCAAAATGTGTATTTTCTATTAATCTGTGTATATTACTAATTGAAAATCAACTTTAAATGTCTTGGTGATATAAACAGGTACACAAAGTGTAGAGTTTCTAAATACAAAGTTTAAAATTTATCTTAACACAATTGTGATGGTTTATGGGGGTTTGAATTGTTCAGATTTGTTTCACGTTTTCCCATTATTGCTGTTAAGCCTGAACATAGCCCTCTGTTATTATCTCTTAGCACCTTGAATATATCTTCGAATCACGATAGTTAACCATTAAAAACATGTCCCTCTCCAAGAACGGCTGAATGTTCCGAGAGTGTAACTCATATTGATGATGTTGAATATAAAAATCTCCATGGCAACTTATAGGATTTCAGAACTTTTATTTGACAATAGGATGACTGGGTTACATCAAGCAAACTTAATAAGTCCATGGGCAGTACCAGGAGTGTTATTAATTGGATGCAAAATATTCGCTCTGACTCGTCTACACTCCCAACAAAAAATTGTTTAGTAAATGGAAGTACCTTTTTTGACAAATTCAAGCCTATTTATGTTATGGTGATATTAGTCTAGCTACAAGCAACTGTGACCCCCCTCCCACTACTTAACTACATACCTTATCATAGGTATGTAGGTGTATAGTGGGGTAGAGGCTCATACGGGCTTGTAGCTAGACTATCACACTACTATACCTAACACCTAGAAATGCATAAGACACTTTGTTTGTCTAATTGAATTGTTTAATATATTTTTGAAAGTGCCTTACTAGCATCTAACTTTCAACCGATAAACCATTCATAAGGAACAGACAAATAAAAACAAATACATAATCATTACTAATAAGCCAAATTGGTTGCTCATGAACACCAAATGCAAGGTATAGTAGAGTGACTATGGTGATATTAACAAATTCATCTTTGTATTTACAAAACAAAATTTCAATTAAAAAATACACAGGCTTTTTCATGGGGTTTCAGTTGCCAAACTGTATTGAGGGGTGCATTTACATCAATACATCTGAAATACTTGTTCTGAATATTACAGAATAAAAAGGCTAAAAAAGCAGCTGACACTAATTTTTTCCAGAGAGCCAAGATATCGTGTTCAGAACAGAAGATATTGGAATTGAAGGTTTTATTTCTAGTTTTCAGGCAACATTGAGAAAAGAGGATAAACAATTCAAATGATTTCAATTTGAAATTAGATAATGCACAACACATTTCCTATATATATCAAGAAGGGGAAATATATTAATGACATCTGGAAAGGTAAAAGAAGGCTATGCATAAAGACTAATATTCTGATATAAACCAAATTGTTTTTTTTTATGGCTATACATTTGGAAAGGAATGAATTCAAATAGAGAACAAATGTAATAAACCCAATTTTTTTACCTTGTATGACCATCAAAACGAAAACAAAAACATCGTTAAAATAAAATAGGTGACCACCAGAGCAGTGACTGAGCAATAGCATATCACAAATTGCAATGCACTCACAAAATTATTGAACCATATTTTAATCATTAATATTCAAAAATTCAACCACTTATATTTAATCTCACATGTACTAAATCTGACCACTACTTTATCAAGAAAATGAAAGCATAAACAAAAAGGAAGCACTCGGTGCCACCAAAACTAAAGATGGAATCAAAGATATAGCAGCTGTAGCTATAGAGTATTTTAGTGCATCAATTCTATTGGTATATGGTCATCTGTGCAGAAATACTATCTGTGCATTAGGTCTCATAATGAACTGAGCAGTGCCAATATTGGTAAAAGAGTGATATTATCACTGTGCATTATGGGTTTATAAAGAACTGGATAATACCATTTTTTATTTATAGTAGTGTTAGTATACTTGAATTGCAATAAAGAACCCTGTATCATTGAATTTAAAGACATTCATGCATATACTCAGGCTCCACCCCTGTGCATTATGTGTACAGGTTAGTGCATGCATTCATGCTTTTAAATTTCTAATTAAGAATGATACAGGATTCATATTCCTTTAACAAATAAAACTTCTCTTACTGTTTGACTGTGAATTCCTGCTCTACAGGCCCAGTTTGTTCAGAGGCATCTTTCTCAGGTACTATCTGTTCGTGTTGTTCATCCTTTGGCTCATCACCTCCATTAGGAACACCTTCTGTATCTTCAGCACATCCATCCGTGCCATCATCTTCTATTACATTTTCATTCTCATCTTCATTTTCATTTTCACTGGTTGCCTGGTCAGGCAATGATCTTGAAGATACTTTCCTACCATAGCCATTCGCAAAAGCTGCAATTCAGAAATCACCAATTTTAGAAAAAATTGACTTAAATGCATAGATGTAACGGAATGTTTTCCATTGTTGTTAAAAGGGATTTAGAAGAAATCTGTTGGAAGAATCTTTAAAAAAGGATGATAATGTTTCCCTTAACTGAAAAAATCTTGTCAAATATTAAGAGAAACTAATTTCATTTGAATTCATTAGAATTGAAAAAGGAGACTAACCCTTTTTCCAGATTAGCTTAAAATTCAAAGGATAATCCTGAAATGAAGTCAGAAATGTTTGACTTTTTAGAACACTAAGACATGACATGATGAGTGTAAACATTATTTTCAAATTGTGACAATTTTCTGAAACTTACTCTCAATTCTACTCCCTTCAACAAATGTTAAACATTTTAATTACAAATTCAGGCCGATTGTGTCCATGAAGGACCAACGTAAGGTAATGGTAACATAATCAAATACAGTATATACAATACCTCTATTGTATTCAATGCTAACATGTAAACATGGTAAACATACCTCTCAAACCTCTCAGAGTCTACATATGTTTCTACCTTTCAAAAGAAAACAAAATCTGGAATTTTATCTTCCTTTCAATCCAATAATCCAAGACTATAGATAAGTTTTTGCTTTTCAAGGCCAACACATGATTGGAATTTTATCTTGATTGAGCTATTTCTGGCATACTTCAGCTAAACTGAGATACAGTTGGGACCAAAGAACCTGATATCCTACTACTCACTACAGAAATTACTCCAGTAATAGGTGTTGTACATGATTTTTCCTGTATAGGAAAACACATCATTGGCAGTTAACTCTATTGAATGTGTAATTATTCTTGAAGGTAGTGAATACAGAATGAGGTACTCTGAATATTTTTTATTTCAGTTTCCCAGTTTATATTTACCCTTGTATCACAAAGCCTGAAATAATCATGACACGTAGTAAATACATGTACTTATGTACTAAAAATTCTCTTTTAAAAATGCAAAATCAATATCTTGAAAAAGAGTCAAAATAATGTAATCTGACTTTTGCAAGAATATTACAAGGCATTAACATGGAAAAATCATCACCTACCATTTGTTACAGAATACTGAACACAGACTGCAAAACACCAACCACCAAAAACCATCAACAAAAAATGGAAACTAACAATTTGTCATCACTTGTTGTGGTGACATAACAACTGATTATGATGTATAACTCTGCTTAATTGCTACAACTGCCATTTGAAAAACATCTCAATTCAATACTGATTGAAAGCTCATAACATCACTTTATAGTCACTATGGAAAACAAAAGGGTGAGATTAGATTACGAGAAGCTGTTTTCTAAAATTCTGTCAATTACATCACATTGATCTATATACCTAGGATGAAGAAAAGACGCATAACAAAATTAGCTGAGATTTCCTGCTGCATCCTAATCTGATCTTAGGGACAATCACAGGCTAGTTGAGTGTATACTAAATATTATCTATCATCCAAAAAACAGAATTTCTTCTATCAATATGTCCGCATTACAATTTCATCTGTAACTCATAGATTGCCAGTCAAAATTCTGAATATTGTCATACTTATTACAGAAAACCCCAAATAGCAAAAACAGACAGATTTTTTATATTATAATTTCATCCATGACTCTTACAGATTACAAGTCAAGATTTTAAAGATTGTCATAGCGACCTATTCGTATCACTCACCTAAATCATAGTGCTTCATATGTCCAGCAAAATGTCCAAGATTAAAGTGTTTATACACGTATTTGTTTTTTATCCTATCCGCCGCCATGTTACTTAAAATTGAGAACTGATGTTGTACTTTATAGCTATTAACACTAAACTGAAGCGTTTATTGCCGAGTTATCATATCCCAATGTGATTAATACCTCTCAATCTGACAATGGTTTCCTCTGTTATATATTTCATGTTCTTTATTAAACGTGATATTCGTACAGCACTTCCTCGTATAACATCTTTTTACTCTCATTAAAGGTCGCCAAATTTTAACTCCTTACTTATTGACGATTCACATCAGCCTACAGTGAAACAAAAGATGACGAATATTTTGACAGGTACATTTTTTATGCTTTCAAATAAATGTAGAGCACCTTGACAAGAGGTTTTGTACTTATAAATATGTAGTTTTTTCTGATTGCTTTTTCAACCTTGTCAATCCTAAGATAAAAAGCACAACTGCCAGCTAAATGTTTTTTTCATTTTCTTCAAAACATAGAACTTTTGGAACCACCCGCTAACATACAACTAACTCACTGTTCTTATATCACAGATTTGAAAATACTTCGCCGTTCCAATTCCTGAGCTTTTAAACCTGTGCATCAATTAGCCGCTTATTACGACACGCTATATTCCATGTTGACTATTGCGTTTCCTGATAATATTTTGGACCGGTATAGAGCCATTGGAATAACAAGAAGGCCCATTAATCATATTTTACAGGAAAAACATAGCTATTGAAATCTACTTAAGTCACAAAATAGATTCTTGAAGCTGATTTTGATTTATAACATAATATATCTTTGATCACTCTTAAATTATATCTGGCATGTTCCCGAATATATATTGCAAGGCATGAGCCTGGAACCATGAGAGCCAGTAAAACATTTGTTGAATACAGAAATCACAAATTATCTGGTCTAATTCCTGCAATGAGCGGCTAATTCATCAGATTAGCATGAGCTAGAATACTGCTTTATCTATGGGATAACCTTCAATGTATAACAGTGCAAGGGCTCAAAGGCATAAACCAATATGTTTTTTATCAACTCAAATTGTTAAGATGATTTAAGGGTAATGGATTAAGGTTTTCAAGATGGTGACACATTATTGCACAGCTACGTGATTGGAAAAATTGCTTTGAAGAATTAAGCTGACATTATCATTTGAAGGATGCAATATTATCTTAACCGAATAGAATACATGATACAGTTGCCATGGTAATGTTGCAAACTTACGTAGGGGACGTGACATCTCATGTGACAACTTGTCGTAAGAAGTCCACAAACTGTGAAAGAGACGACAGGAAGATGAACTTGGCAAGTGATACAAAGACAAACATAAATTCATTAAATAGGAAATACCAAATTCTACAAAAATAAAATTCAAGGATGTGTCTGCCATGAATATATTTCCCACTGGGGGCCATCATTTTTTACATCAGAAAATGTTTTTTGTAGATGAACATATATCATTCAAAGCAGATCCCATAGATGTGCACTATGTGTACTCACGCCTTATTCATTTCATTTAGATTGCTTTTATATAAAAATATGTGGAAATACCTAACCCTAATTATTTTCAATGTTGACAAAGTTCAAAAGGTAAATGATTCACAATGTTGATGTTTATTGGTTATTAAGAGTAAATCTAAAACAGCGTATTATATAGAATGTTCAACACTAGTGAGTGATACCTAATTGGTATCTTCCATATTTCATGTATTTTACATTTGAAGGGAGACCAAGAAACCCCTCCTTGGAGGAGTCATGTCTCAGGGGTTTCATTAGCAGTGGGCAACAAGCGATTTTCACCATTTGTTTTCACAAAATCGCCTGTTGTTTTTAGGGACTCTTCAACTTTTCCATGTTAAATTTTTGATTTCCATTAATGTTGCCTGTTTATTTCATTTATTTAGCCTGTTGTGAGAAATTCTAGTGAAACCCCCGTGTCTTCATATTATATATACCAGTACAGACATATAAGTACACATCATAGCCTTTTATACAAGTTGTGGACCACTCAAACATGAAGAATTATGTAATGCAGAAAGTCTGAACAGGGAATGGAACCTGGGGTCAAGCAATTGTGGTAACCTTTGCTCTGCTAATGAACCATAGTGGGTGGACTTACTTAAACCTAGATCAATTAATTTTTGAAATTCATCAAAACTAATTTGCAGCAAAGAAAACATAAAAATTTAGACTAGGAAATATTCTCTTCCCATCATTCAGTTTATGATAAAAAAACTGATCAATGATTTATCACACTTAAACTCAAACTTTGCTCTGAAGTGAAATGTCTCAGAATCACATAAACATGTCTCATCTCTTTGATTTTTAACAGTCTAGTCAGTAACAACCCCTTGTGTACTCTATCCCAACTTCTTAACTGGTTGGGGGAAACAGAGACCTGATGGATGATAAAATATTATCATTTCACAAATCCAAAACCTACAATTATACTCACTGCCTTTCGTAAAAACTACTTAACATAGACAAACTTACCTTTTGGATGTAGGTCAAAGCGAAGATGTCCTTCATTGCTAGGTGTTTTATGTATCGTTGCGTCGCAGTCTGCACACAGCATCAGTGGTTTGTGGTTGTTCTTATCTTGGCAGTCGCTATGGTGGCAAATCTGAAAATAATAAATACAAACATGTTCACCTCGTTGTCATGGCATTTTACTTGAAAGTTATATGTATAATTATCGAGCTCATATCATTTAGAAACATTTAACTTTTATTCATTTTTTAAAAAAAGATATTGTGAGTTAACACTTTAATGAAAGTATACCTGATAAAGTCCATCCTCAAACATGCCTAAGTACTATACTTATCCTATCCTAATTTAACTGAAGTATATCATAATGTCATTGGTACTATAGGATCAAATTAACTATACAGGTTTTAAAGTAGATATTTTAGTACCAACCTCAATTCAAGTTTTTTAAGGTCACATAAAACAGTTTTGAAAATCAAGTTAATTCTGAATGTTTCATTACTAAATGTCAATACGCGCTTTCAATCTAAGAATTCAGTGGATTCAATGAATTTCTTTCCCATTCAAATTAAGAATCCTAATTTTCTATACAACAAGGTCTCATTGATGACAGTTAATTGGCAAAACATGTAAACATTCACAAGGTCATAATTTCATTGAAAAAATTGACGGAAACCTTATCTGGGACAAAAACATAGAAACCATTAAAGAAAATGTCAGACTTCCCTAAAGCGCAAAGAAATGCTGTAACATGAGGTATTTACCCATCATTCAACCATTAAGTAGTCGGACACTGGCCAATTATCTTATCTGATAGAGAATTCTTCTCAGGGGTTTGCATAAGAGACAGATGATATAATATACGAAAGTGATACTTTATTATAACAGTAATGACTGAATGGTAGACTCTGGAAAGTTCAAAACAACTAAGAGGTTATGGTTCGGTGATCTTTTAGTATTATTTCACTCAAATACAATCCTCAAACATTAATTTATCCTTGATATCCCTATGAGCACAAATCTTATCCCGATGAGCACAAATTTTATTCAAAATTGTTTTCATAAAATAATATAAAAAGTCGCATTATAAGTACCTGAATCCTAACAACTAACATCTCATTTAGTCAAGCTTACGTATTAATATCCAATAAAGATCTTGTATCTGAAGCAATTAATCAGGTTCCATCTCAACATTATTGATAACGCAGTAAATTGGCAGTCAAAATAGCTAGTTCACAAACTAATCTGTAGGTCATTCAACTTCCGATAGACTTAACCCTTATGAGAATCAAAATAATACGACTTTGAATAATTTTTCCAAAATTTCTCTAAAATCATATGAAATTCACTCTATAGAATATGACGTAACTGCATATAGTAGTATGATATAGCTGTAAAGGGTATATGTTTTTATTGTAAAAGTAAAGATTTCCCTACACAAGACCTCATGGAGAAACTGTAAGGGTGATCACATGAAGCAATGAAGATAAAAGATGAGTTGGACAATATGGGAATTGAATGAGGCCCTGGTGTGAATGTCACTCGTGAGTCCATTGTTTTACATAAACCATATACACACGATGTACATGTTTTATCAATAATTCAACCTGTTTATATGAATTTTTATCACCTTATGAACTTTAAACCCAGTTGTTGTAATAGCCCATATGCAGCAGGTATAATTCAACTTGACAGCTAAAAGTTCAAACAAAAAAACATACATACAAAAAAAATGTTATGAGTATTGTTTTGAAAACACTCAAGCCTCCAATATATCATCTACTTCAACAAAACTGTAAGTCTTTGTTAAAAATCAGAAGCACTTTTGAATCCCATTAAATTGTGTGTCTGACATCTTCCTACACAAATATATTTATTCATTTTCTCTATATGTTTGATGTTACACTCATCAAGGCAGGTTAACATTCAACAACATAGCAGTAATACAGTATATACCTGGATATAAAGTTTTTTGCTGATCCCAGAAATTTCACCACCTACCATTTGTTACAGATTCCAACCGCCAAACACCAAGCACTGAGCATCAACCTCTAAACACCATCCACAAAAAGTTGAAGACTATAACAATATGTCACCAGTGACCTATGGTAGTGACATTAAAATGAAGAATGGTTGTAAGATTCATATTCAAAGAAAAAAGAATCTTATGACTTATCCAAGTGCTTAATAGGAATGGCATCTATGGTTGGAAAATTGTATAATAGACATATTACTAGATTCATTGACGCACTTCATGTTGTTTATGGGTTTCATACCCAAAGATAAATCAACCCAATTTTTTACTATCAGATTCATTGATTATTTTACATATTGCGTATATGACCATGTCATACTATTTACTTTAGAACCTTCCTCAGGAATAAATGTCTGAATATTCTAATTATAAAACTCCCTTATATATATTTTTCACTCAAAGAATGGGAAAAAGTATTTAAGGGTGTGGGTGGGCGCAGTCACTCCTAAAAGTGAACCATGGGGCCAATATTGACAAATATAACAAAGCAGAAAAAGTAATATCTGAAGATGGACTAACACTACTTATTTACTCTCCAAAATAATCTTAAGATAATATAGATTGAAGTCTCCTTCATCATCTCATCCATTTGTCAACACTTGAGTCTATAGATGCATTGTTGCAGCATCATGATGAATGATTGATGGTCTCGGAGAGGTCTTGTCCCATGAATTCAGTTAAGTGAGTTATGATGTCATCTCAAATCTCCCCCCAAAGCAAACACTTACAGATCTGTGTAATGAACTGTATGGGAAACAAAGGAGAAAGAAACCAAAGATTTGACATGAGAAAATGCCTTCATACTCTGCTGGATTTGGATTTGCCACTAACATAAAGGAAAAAGGAATGAACAAGGCATTAACATGCAAAATGTCACCACCAGCCATTTGTTACAGACACCAAGTGCCGATCACAAACTTCCAAACACCAACCACCTTCCACAAGTCAATTGGTACAGTACCTATTTGATGTTATTTTCCTCTTGAACCAGGTGCCCCTTTTCTTTCAATATATTTTTGTTGACAAACATGTACATATATACCTATTTCAAAGATAAGTACAGTACATAAGCTGACGCAACACTATATACTGTACATAGCTGACATAATTCCCAGTGCAAGTTGCTGCTCATAATCCTGGTCAATGCGGGCAAATCTCCCACATTGCCATTCCTGTGCATGGAAACAATTTCTAATTCAATATTCGAGACAATAAAATATATCTCATCCCTCGAGACATGTACGATACCATATATTTCAATTGATCATTGAATTAGACAAAAAATGAACTGCCGTCAAAATTTTTTTATGCCTTTTCTAAGAATTTGGTTCAAATAGGTATAAAGGATGTATTATTTGCAGTGCCAATCATTCGCCTACGCTCTTTCACTTGTCATCTTGATCAAAGCCATTGCAATACTTTAATAGGGAATCTTTTCACACTGGTTAAGACGCACACAAAAACAAACAACAAACAAAATTGCACAAAAACAAACAAACAAAAACCTAAACTCTCGTGTTGTTTTTTTACTTGTTTGACAAAATCATTATCTATGTAATAATTGATTTTTAGAACTAGATATTTATAGCTCGTTATTACATGACGTAATGAAAGTGTTCGAGATAATGCCTCAGGGAGAATACCTTCATGTCAGTGAGTGATGAGAACAGTTAAGTAAAATATATTTTATTTGTTGATGGTAATTATCCATCGACCAAAAGTCAACTTAGGCTATTGAAATATATTATAGGCCGAATATTAAAAATGAACATGTAAAATGTCACCACCTGCCATTTGTTACAGACACCAAACACCAACTGCTGAACAGCATCCACAAAAAGTAAAAAGAAAGATTTTAAGAATGGTGGTCACATTATAATCATATTTCAGTCATGTAAGAAAAACAATTGTGGTCCTGAAGAGATATCAAAAGTCAAAAAACTAAACAATTCCAAGAATCGTAAATAATTTTTCTTATATTGGAGCTTACCTTTTTGTATTGACTTTCACATAGCATCATGGTCTAAGTAAACTTTTTGCAACATTAAAAAGGCATCTAAAATATCCCTAATCCACAGAGTATTCCTATAGAATTGGTATATTCAATCCTTCTCTTGACAAGTTTTCTATTTGTGTCGGTGACATAGAAAAACTATTTTCAAAACATTCCCATCATTCATTCTTTAACTCAAATTTCTAATCTGATTGTCTCAGCTGTGCTCAATGGATTTTGTCCCCATCAATACAAACAGGATCTGCCATATCCTGAATCTCCTCACCATCAACCTCTTTTCTATGATGAATTTTTATTTTCTGTCAAAAATATCTTGATGAAACACCTGATAACGGTGGTTTGATCGAAAAATGCAAGTTGACTCATATACCCTTGATGATGTTGGTTTAACATGTTTTCACATGTAATTTATTGATATATTGCACTTGAATTGAAAGTTATACGAGAAATGAGACAAGGGTGGCACCTTCCCAAGTAAGTCCCCTCCATATAAGTTAACCTCATGTAGGCCTGCATGTCAAACTGAAGTTTGTAGTTTTACACTTGAAATCATTTTTTCAAGTTAAGTTGCCTCAAACGCTTACCACAAAATATAGAGGTCATTGTTTGTCTCTGTAGGTTGCTAAGTTGATCGTTTTAAAAAAAAGTGACACACAATTTGTTGTGGTGAATAAATGATGAAATTAGGTGTACAGGTATAAGCATTTAAATTTAAAAAAACTTAAAAAAACTATTCTTATAAATTATTTAAAATCATATTATAATTTATTAAGAAGTACTTATGTCTTACATAATTAATCTATGTTAAATTGAAAAGTATCCTTTAAAGAATAATATTTATTATTACAAGGTCAATAATAACATCAACAAAACCTGTTTGACCTTAACTATATTTAACCATTATCTCCCTATCCAGAGGTAATGTATTATCATCCAATAAGACACATTTAAATTCAGAAAAAAGTGACATTGAGTTTAAATAACTTTAATCCATTTTGCATTCAGAACACGCAATGTTGTCTAATCGGTGAAACATTGAAAGAGACGAAAGGCCAAGCAGTCATAACCAATCAAAGCAAGTTATTAT